TCAGAGACGGTGGTCTCAGGGTTTCCCACTGATGGCGCCCAGAAGGATTTCAGAACAGGACCTGGCTCAACAAATTATTTGTGGAACGAATGTGAAACAATCTTTAAATACATTTTTTTTTTTATCGGTACCAGGGATCGAACTGACAACTGCACGCTTACAAGGCAAGCGCTTATGCCACTGAGCGAAATCCCCAGCCCCGAGATACATTTCTTTTTAATTTTAGAGATTAACTCAATGTATGTTTGGGAAAAAATCTGGAGCACGTCAAAGCATTGATTTGAAGATACTGAAATTTTTCCTTTAACAAAAACTGATTTAAGTGTGAGTCTATTTAAAGAGGACGGAAGTAACTGACAACACGGGTGGAACACAGTTATGGCCACAGTCCCAGGTGTGGGAGCACCTGAGTGACCTGGGAGCCGCTGTGGCAGGCTGGGAGCCCCGAGTCTGCTCAGGGACGGGTAAGGCTGGAGTCAGGAAGGCACTTGGCCTGCTGCAGGGAGGATTTCAGCTCTGACTGCAAAGGATCTGACAAAAAGGGGAGTTTGTCCCTTGTGATCTGTGCAGTGTAAGCCACGGAAAAGTGGCACTAAAGGCCAGAAGCCAGAGCCTCCGGGGTCGCCAAGCAGGCAGGGAGTTACAAGCGAAAGCAGCAGTGACAGGCAGATCAAACACATTTTGTTTTGGAGTTGGCTTCCCCGGAGGCAACGCAAGAACTGGAACAAGGCATCAGAGGGCACTGGGGAGCCACTGTTGGTTTTCATCACAGGGCCGGGTACGTAAGAGCACTTTTTTCCCCAGTAATAAGGATTGAACCCAGGGCCTGGTGCATGCTACATAAATGCTCTACCCCTGAGCTACATCCCCACACTTTTTATTTTCATTCTGAGCAAGGTCTCCATAAGTGGCCAATTGGTTGCAAACTTATGATCTTCCTACCTCATCCTCCAAAGTAGCTGTGATTATAGGAGTGTGGCACCATGCCCAGACATACAAGCACTGTTGTTGGTTGGTTTGTTTCTGAGCCTCCACACTGAGCTGCATCCCCAGCCCGTTTTTATTTTGCTAAGTCATGAAGTTGCCCAGACTGGGGCTGAACTTGTGATCTTCCTGTAGTAGCCTCCTGGAGTGCTGAGATTATAGTTGTGCACCATCATACTCGGCTGACAAAAGTCCTTTCAAAACCACCAAAAACGTAAATTCTTTCGGGTCGGGACATGTCCCCAAACAGAGGACCTGTAGCTGTTTTGGCAATTCAGGAGGTGCGTAAGCAATAGCAATGATGTTCTTTAGAAAACAAGTCGATACTGAAGAACAGCTTTGGGTCCACTTGCAGCAGTGTTTGGTCACACGGTAGGTATCACAAACCTCAGGATCTCCAGGGAGAAACTGTGAGACCCTTGGGTTTGTGCTTGGAGTCGAATGGCAGCTACTAGCCCCTTGTTTCTGCTGCCTGCAGGAGACAGGCTGGATCAGTGATTTTCTGAGCTGGCAACTGAGGCTTTGAGCTGTCCCGGCCCCTCCTAGGCCATCCCTCTTCTCCCACCCCCCATCCTGACAGATGGAGACATCACTGTGATTATTGCTTTTAAAAGGTTGAGGCCAAATACTTATCTACAGGATGATCTCAACCACATTTTGAAAAATGTATGAATGTACAGGAAGGACATACACAAATGCCAATGAAGACTGACTCTGTCTCGGTGGAGGAAAAATCAATGATTTTCTTTCTCTTAAAGAGCAGAGAAGAGAGGGGCTGGGGATTTAGCTCAGCGGCTCAAGCACTTGCCTGGTAAATGTGAGGTCATGAGTTCGATCCCAGGTACCAAAAAAAAAAAAAAAAAAAGCAGAGAAGAGAAATGCCACCAAGGCCTCCTATAATGGCCCCAAGCACATCCTGAAGTAGCTGAGCTCTGAGCCCAGGCTTCTGCCGCATAAGTCCCCAGGAAAACAGCACCAGTCCTTGAGGCTGACCCTGCCTGGTGAGGTCCTCCAGGTGAAAAAAAGCGTTGTCATGATATTCAGCAGAATTCAAGCCTGGGCAGAAATCAGCACCAAACAGCTTTCTGGCAAAGGCAAAATAGCCTGGAGCAGGGCCCAGCTTTGTTGACAGAGGCTGGGTCCTGCCCCCACTCTGCTGAAGCCCGTCTCTGCTGGTGGGGCCCATCCAAGGCAAACACGGCAGCCTGCCCAGCCTCCCTGCACCCTTGTGCAAACGGTGGACTGGGGCAGCACACAGAACCCTGCTCCTTCCTCCGTGGTATCTCAGCGGTGTCTCCGCTGCAGGCACAGCCCCAGGCTAGTGTGCCAGGGTGCTTGGAGGTTGCCTCGCCTCCTGTCTCCCACCTGGGATAAGCAGTTGCTCTCTTTCCAAATCCTCCACTTAGGAGCTCTTCTCCGAGGCTGGCATTTTAAGGATGAGAGGCTTGAACTGTACACAGCAGATCCCAGGCCCTTTCTAGGCCCCTACCCACAGCACCTGGGAGCTGGCTGAACCACCCTACATATGGCAGGATTGTCAGCCTGTGCATGATGGACATTCGGGGCCACATATCTCCTTGTTGTGGGTGACTGTCCTGTGTATTGCAGGATATGTAGCAGCACCCTCTGCTCACTAGAGGCCACTAGCATCTCTCCAGTTGTGACAACCAAGAGTGTCTTTACACATTGTTAAACATTTCAGGATAAGGAGAGAAGCTTATACCCCAGCCCTGCCCTTTTTCAGTACTGGGGATTGAACCCAGGGCCCTCACTCTGCCCTACACACCCAGCTCTTTTTTATTCTTTATTTTGAGACAAGGTCTTACTAAGTTGCCCAGGCTAGACTTCAACTTGCCATCTGCCTGCCTCAGCCTCTCAGGTGTCAGAATTACAGACACACATCACCTGGCCTGGCTAAATGACCCCTTTTTGATACCAGCTACTCTCAAGGAAAGACTAGAGAGACTGAAGAAGGGGGTCTAGGAAGCAGGGCTGGGAAGCTGGTGCTAGAGTGGGGGTGGATAGGATGGGGGGTGGGGAGAAAGAAGAGACACTTGGAGGTTCCCACGAGAATAGAAAACTGGAGAAAGAGTCGACACTTTTAGGAATGTTGCTATGTAACCTCCCTCTTCTAAGGGAAACCATCAAAAACCTGCATCTCTGCAGCTCGGTGGCAGAATGCTTACCCAGTGTGCTGGGGCCCCCCCCAGTACCTTCAGCCCCAACAGCTACACCAGCAGCAGCAGCAATCTGCATGGGCAGGGGCGAATTAGGAGGCTGATGCGCCCTCAGCCCCACCCTCACCCCTGGCGGACAGACAGGGTCCAGCCCAGGGCCAAGCCTGTTTCATGGGCGATGCCCTCAGGGCATCCCAGACCATGATTCCCAGGTTTGCACAGAGGCATTGTTTGTTAATAACAATTCAGGCCAATTCAGTACCAGCCTCGTAAGTGTCACACTTGTTTCTGATAACACTGTCTCAGTGGGAGCAGCAGAGAGCTCATGACACCCAAGCCATGGGCTTTTGAACACTTTTCATCACAGGCAGGGTGGCCAGAGAAAGTACGTGGGTGCCTACTATGGGGACTTGGAACTGCTCCTGAGCCCCCGTAATATTCAGGCCTCCTTTACTGTCCTAGAGCACACCAGGTTTTTATTTCTTGGACTCAACACTTGTCTAAAGCTCACACACACACACACACACACACACACACACACGAATGCTGAGTCCCCAGCATTCCTGGGCCTGGCACATCGTGAACACTCAAAGCATATCTATTAAATGAATAAAAGGGTGGCATCCTGGCCCAGGGATATAGCTCAGTGGCACAAGCGCCTGCCTGGCAAGTGCGAGGTGATGATTTCAATCCCCAGAAACAAACAAACAAACAAAAAAGGAACACACCCTACTTCTTGACCAGGAATCTTCAACCTCCAGATCAAACATCACCTTCTCTGGGAAGCCTCCCTGATTTCTTTCAGCAGAAACAATTGAATGCATACCCAAAACATTCAGCTCATACCTTTATTACGTGTCACAGGACCTACTATTTGGGCGTGTTTGGCATCCCCTGCCTGAATGTAAACTCTTCAAGGACCATTGTGATGTCTCATGAATTACCCCAACTCCCATCAGCTCATAGTAGATTACTGACAACTACTTGTTTAAGTCAGGAATCAATAAATGCTCTCCTCTGTCTCCATTCCAAGCAAAACCCAAGAGCAAGAGCTGTTTTGGACACTGACTTCCTGGTCTTCCCATGGCCTTTTCCTCTGGCTTCCAGTACTAGACATGGAACCAGCACCTCCTGCATGCTTGGCACTCAGCCACTAAACTACATTCCCAGCCCTTTGAAAAGAACTTGCTTTTTTTCTGTTTTGTCTGTTTTTTGAGACAGGGGCTCACTATGCAGTTCAGGCTGGCCTTGAGCTCACTTTGTAGCCCAAGCTGGTCTTGAACTTGCAATGATCCTCCTACCTCAGCCTCCCAAGTGCTGGGATTACAGACATGTGCCATCACACCTGGTTTAAGAACTTGTATTTTGGGGTAAAGTTTTGCTAAATTGCCCTGGCTAGCCTGGAATTTGCAATGTTCTTGCTTCAGCCTTCTGAGTAGCTGGGATTACAACCAGGTGCCACCCAGCCACCTCACTTCCTGGTCCTTTGACACAAGAAACATTGATCCAGCCCCACTAAAGGTTGTTTCTGTCCCTGAGGGGAGGCAAGACACCCCAAAAGTCTGTGATGTTCCCTAGTCCAAAGGCTAGATGATGTGTGAAGCTTCAGCTGCATCACGCCCATGGGCCCAGGACTCTAGGAACCTTCTAGAAGCTTCTCCAGGACCACCCTGCCCCTGTCTACCCCCACTTCACGATCAGACTCTGTGCTTGGAGACAACCATTGGACACCATTGAATATGTGAAGACTCCACCACACCTGTCTAGGCCCCCCACATCCAGCACACATGAAGCTCCTGGGGAGCAGGTGGGGCTGAGTCCCCATAGCGCTGCCCCTACCTGGCTGAAGGCAGAGGTGAAGATGGTCTCCTGGGAGGGTCTGTCCCGAACAGGGCCCTCCTGCCTGCTGCAGTCCAGCTGGATGAGGGCACGGCACTCGGGGTGGCAGGTGAACTTGCAATCTGGAGGGGAAGAACCATAGGGGTGTAAGAGGCCTGTGGGGTTCCTGCCACCTCCCTCCCGGGGTTACACCCGAGAACCCTAGGGTTCACTCCCACTGGGGAGAGCAGTGCAAGAGGTGGGGACCCAGCACAAGGCCAATGCCCTGTTCACTGTTACCTGCAAGGGTGGGGCAGTGACATGACAGTGACACACTGCCTCCACCTGCGCCGTTTCACAGAAGTCCACAGTCACCATTATAGGCTGGGGGCCTCAGAGACTGTCACTGCCGGGCACCTGACCCAGGTCTGAACCTTCACAGGTCCACTTTCTGCTAATTCCCACCTGACACAGCCTACTGGGTTCACTTCCATGGAAGCGGAGATGTAATTTCCAGATGTGGAAACAGCCATGGGGACTTCCTTAGAGATAGGGAAACTGAGGCCAAGAGAGAGAGTATCAGATGCCCACCGATATAAAGCTGGTGTTTCCCTCCCAGCTTTCTTAGGGCTCCTTCTGGGGCCTCCTTGGCAGGAAGGAGGGAGCGAGGAATGTGGCCAAAAGGAAAGCATGGCACAGAAAGAATCAACACAAGTCTTCCAGCTGGCCAAAGGTAAAGGTCTCAGTGGCTCAAAGTGGCACAGGCCTGTACTCCTAGCGCTTGGAGAGGTGAGGCAGGAGGCTTGAACATTTGAGCTTAGCTTGGGCAACTTAGCAACTTAGCAAGACTCTCGATCAAAATATACACATTTATAAAAGGTAGGTGCAAACCCTGGGTTCAATTTTTGGTACAAAAATCAAGAACAAAAGCTCAGCTCAAAGGTGCAGTTTCCACACTGGCTGCTCTGCTAGTGTGACCTCTTGTCCAGAGATGCCGCAGCCCAGTCTGAAGGCCCAGCCTCACAGTGGCCAGACGTTTCTCAGGGTCCCCTGCTGCCTGTGAGCGAGGTGGATGCACTGGGGCAGAGGAATGGCTGCCTGGACTTGCTTGGATGGACCAGGGGGCTGCTTCTGGCTGATAAGGGCTCACACATGCCAAGTCTCTTCTAATAAGATTTAAACAGCACATCTGCTGCCTGTATTAATTACTTAATTTACTTAAATTTAATTTGGGGGGACAAGGTCTCACTGTGTAGTGCAGGCTACCCTCAAATGCCCAGCGATCCTCCTGCCTCAGTCTCCTGATGCTGAGACTACAGGTGTGCACCACCATGCCAGCCCCTGTTTCTAAAGCTGCTGAAGCACACTGACTCGGGTCGTAGTGACGGCTGCCCTTTTGCCCACATGCATGAACAGCTCTGGGATGAGGCCCACCTCTCACTGCCTCTTTTCCCTGCCTCCCCCACAATGAGCACCTGGGCCAAGCTCTTTGTAAGGGTGTCCTCACTACCGTCCGTAGGGCAGTGCCTGACAAGGTGGGGGCACAGATTCCAGAACCTTGCAGCCTCCTGACCCCACAAATTGAAGCCCTTGGCTATCTTTCTGGGTTGGAGTTGAGAACTCCACTGCTCACCTCCCTTGTGCCCATGGCTGGCATGGTACCAGCAGCCCCTTCTGCAGAGTCCTTCAGGGTCAAGGCCTTCCCCGCACACCTGCATGCCGGGTCCTCCCCTCCTCTGGGGACAGGCTGAGGGTCTCTGAGTATGCTCCATCCCCACCTGCAGAGGGAGATGTATTCCACGCAGGCACAGCTTCACCTTCATGGGTGAGGGGCACAGGGATATGCAGGCCAAGCCACCCAGGTCTGCAGTGCCCAGAAATACCAGGGCTGTTGACAATGTGGCACAGAGGCCAGAGTCCACAAAAGATAGCATTGTCCCCAGCTCTGGCCCTGGGACGCATCTGTGTAGCTCCTGGTCACCCTCTGAGCCATAAAAAATGCTGCGAAGATGCCAAGAAGTGGAAACCAGGAAGAGGAGAGGGAGGAAGCCCTGCCAGCCCCGAGACCGGCACTGCCCTCGCTCCCAACTGGATGTGTCCACCTGCAGCACCTGGTACGGCGAACACAAAACTCCGGCCATTGTGCAACTGGATCACTCTCATATCCTTCTCTCTCTTTCACCCTCTCTCTCGGACACACACAGACCCTGGAAACAGACCAAAACCTCAGAAGGATCTGTTTACAGGCTCGCTGCTGAGCTGGACAGAGCTGGGAACAGAGGACTCCAAGAGACGTGACTTGGGCTTTCAGTAACAGCAATTCGGGGTGCTAACGAGTCCACTCCAGCAGACCATGCAGTCAAGGGCTGCAGCCAAGCCACTGGAGCATGGCTGGGGGCTTCCTGGCCCCTAGAAAGGATGAAGTCAGAGTCCTAGTGCCTTTCTCCAGACAGGCAGCAGCCTGCAGCCCGACACGTGCTAGAAATGGAGGGCTCACAACACTCCAAAGACAGGGCTGAGTCCCTGGGACCCAGGAGCTGAGTGCTCTCCAGGGAGCTAGCCCAGGTGGCTCCCTGTGATCTGTCCTCCACAGCCTTCCCCCACTCAGTCTGGACAAGGGAAGAAAGAGGGGCCTTGAGTGGAGCAGGATCACACAGGGCTTGGGGAGGATGGAAGACCCCAGCACCCAGACTCCACTAGATTGCTCAGGGCAAAGGCCCAGGAGGTGGGTGACTTAAGATAGGACTGGACTGTCTCCCAGTCCGCAGGCTGACTTTACCATTCTGCCCCTGAAACATGGGACCTGAGCTGGCTTCTTCCTGGCTTCTGAGGTCTTGCTGGTCCCCTTGGCTTGCAGAGACCTCTGATCTCGGCCCATGTCTTCAGTGGGTTTGTCCCAGTGTTTCTATCTTCAATGGCTATCTTTAAGAATTCCTTCCAGTCACACTGGATTGGGGACCAGCTTACTCCAGTGTGATCTCAATTTAACCAATGACATCTGCAATGACCCCAGTTTCAAATAAGCTCTTGCTTAGAGGTACAGAGATTAGGACTTAAGTGTCTTTGTAGAGGGAAGCACAGACCAACCATGACACAGACCCTGGGCCACAGTGGGAAGGTAGACTTATTCTCAACAGAAAGAGGTTGCCATGGATACCATCTCCAGAGATTAGCAGTGGATGCAGGGCAGGGGGGCCCAGAAGTGCAAGGCTGAGTCCAGAGCCACTGTCTAACCCCAGAGACCCAGCTCCTGGCTTTTGTCACTCAGGTTTAGAAGCCATGTCAACCTGCTGTGCTCAAGGATGCCACCCACTCCTTCTCCTTCCACTTCAACGCAGAGGACGCAAAGCCTGCAGGTGGAACTTGGTGCTAGGAGACTGTTCTCCCAAAGTGCAGACTCTGCAAACCTCCTCCTAATCCCCAGGACTGCTGACTTGGTCTCCACCCCACTCCATTGTCAAATGCCAGCACACGTGGAACAAGGTGAAGGTGACACACGCTCTGCAGAGGGACGGTGTAACTCGAGTGGCTCCTTTTTCTGAAACCCAGGCATTCCATTGATAAGAAGCTCCAAGGCCCATGCACACGGGCAGTACATGGACAATCCTGAGATAACAGAGTTCTCCGCTTAACTCTCCCCGCTCCAGTGCAGGCCTAGGTGTGGGGTGAGGGCACGGCAGTCCTTAGCACGCAGAGCCTGGTTACAGGGAGCCCACTCTCTATCCACCACCACTCCTCAGTCAGCAAACAGCAGCTTGTCACCCTGTGTGGACAAAGGACTTCTGAGGCTGAGGGAAGCAGGCAAGTGTCCAAAGCATGGAGCAGATGTTCAGCCATCTGGGAGCAGGCCCACCTCAGGACACACCGTGTCCCAACCCCTCCACACTCTTTCTCAGGACCAGCCACCTGGCTGGTACTCTGCTGTGGTAAAGGGGGACGCCTGCCCTCCACGCTCTGTGAGGCTTCACTCATTTTCTCACCTATGAATGGAATCCTAACAGCCAGGTCAGAGGGCTGCCATGATAACCGAACAGGGTTCTGTCAAGAGCTGCTTAGAAGGCCTGGAGCACAGTCCCCAGTTAATAATGGCTCCTCCACCTCCTGCTCTGTACACTAGTCTGCTATGCTGATTTCTGTCCCACCCACCAACCTAATACAGAATGTACACCTTCCCCTAGCTACCTGCTTTCAAGATATGCACACAAAGAGATTTGCTTTTATCACAATGCATTAGGTACCAAAGAAAAATCTGAAAAAAAACAAAATAAGGACAGTACGTCAAAAATTATAATTTAGGGCCAGGGATTTAGCTCAGTGGCATAAGCACTTGCCTTGTAAGCGTGAGGTCATGAGTTTGATTCCTGGTACCAAAAAAAATATTATAATTTATGAAAGTGTTTAAAGAGGGGTGAGGATTGTCCTGATTTCCACTCTGGAAAACAGTCCTGGCTCCTTCTGAGACATTCCTTTGAGAGCCCATTTTTGCATTAGAGGCTGCCTATCAGGGCCTGACCATCAGTCCCCACCTGCTAGGCCGGCCCAGGCCTGCTCCACTCCTGGTAGCCCCATCATACTCTCAATGCAGCCTCCACCAGGGAAATCCTAGAGGGCCTCGGGGTCCCTGCAACAGACCCAGGAGTTCCTTCTGTGACCACACCACCTCTCCAGGTCCCTGTGGCTCAAGTCCCTGTTTCTTGGGCCCTTCCCAGCACTAGAGAAGCCCCTTTAATAGTGAGCACTCAAAAAACGTCACATGGATTGACTGAATGAATGGAGGAAGGAGTGGAACGTCATCTCTGGCTGAAGTGAAGAGACCAGAGTGTGAGCACTGATCTGACCTAGGCTAGCGTCCTGTCTCCTACTGCCTCACTGTCCCTTAAGTACAGGTGATCACAGTATCCACTTCTAGGGCTGCTGAGACGCTTAGATGAGATGATTACGTACGTAACAATGCAACATGTGGTACATACTAAGGATTCAATAAATGTTAGCTGTGCTTATGCCTGGTTAAAATCCAAGTATAGTCTGCCTGGCAGTCAGCATCAGACATCAAGAACTTGTCTGTGAACATCCCATCAGTACCACCAACCTCCTCCAGGTTTCTGCCAAGCCCAGGACACCCGCTCAGCCCTCCCCTGTGCAC